ACTGAGGAGTCCCGGGTTGGATTCCAGTCAAGGGCATGTACCTTGGTTGTGGGCATATCCCCAGTAGAGGGTGTGCAGGAGGCAGCTGATCAATGTTTCTCTCTCATCAATGTTTCTAACTCTCAATCCCTTTCCCTTCCTCTCTGTAAAAAAATCAATAAAATATATTTTAAAAACAACAACAACAGAGCTTCTGCCCAGCTGGTTTGGCTCAGAGGACTGAAGGGTCCCAGGATGGATTCCAGTCAAAGGCATATGCTAGGGTTGTGGGCTCAATACCAGTGTGGGTCCCAGGTTCGATTCTGGTCAAGGGCATGTACCTTGTTTGAGGGCATGTACCTTGTTTGAGGGCACATCCCCAGTAGGGGGTGTGCAGGAGGCGGCTGATCAATGTGTCTAAGTCTCAATCCGTCTTCCTTCCTCTCTGTAAAAAATCAATAAAATATATATTTTTAAAAAAGAACCCATATTCTATATCTAACCCTTTTACAACTTCTATTCATATCAAAACTTTGCCATTTCTGTGTAGGAAATCTCTAAGATTTTAATTCTAAGCTTTTCATTGTACATTTCTAAAAGAAACTTAATTTACATACTTCTGCATTAAAATTATGTTCTTTTTTTAAAATATATTTTATTGATTTTTTACAAAGAGGAAGGGAGAGGGAGAGAGATTTAGAAACATCTATGAGAGAGAAACATCAATCAGCTGCCTCCTGCACACGCCCTACTGGGGATGTGCCTGCAGCCAAGGTACATGCCCTTGACCAGAATTGAACCTGGGACCGTTCAGTCTGCAGGCCAATGCTCTATCCACTGAGCCAAACCAGTTAGGGCATGTTCTTGTTTTAATTTATTTGTTTTACAGAGTGAAAGGATGGGGCAAGATGAGAGAGAGAGAGAGATTGGAAATGAGAAAGAGACATTGACTTGTGGTTCCATTCAGTCATGCATTCATTGGTTGCTCCTTCTATGTCCTCTGATCTTGGATTTAACTTGAAACCTCAGCATATTGGGACTAACTGGAAAAGCAGGCCAAGGCAATGTACATACCTCTAATGTCATTAATTACATCAATGTAGCATAATTACCTACCAGTTTTTTGATCCTCAAATATCCAACTAAATTTTGATCAAATATTTTTCAAAATGAAATGATATTAGATTTATACATGCTAGTAATAACTGATGTGTATATCTTGTAAGTCTATTTTAATTCCTATAACCTACTTCCATGTGATTTTACTTTCTATTTATATTTGTGTTGAAGCAACAAGATCGAATTTTCAGTAGAGCTTATTACAGTCAGGATTTTACTGATTACTTACTCCGCGTGTTATTAAAAGTTTACTAGAGAAACAGAACCAATAGTATGTATCTAGAAAGACATTTTTTAAAAAGAGGTGACTCACAAGGTTATGGAGCCTGAGATGTCCCATGGTCTGCAGTCTGCAAGCAGGAGACCCAGGAGAGACAGTGGTGTCGTTGAAGGCCTGAGGGTCTGAGGACAGATGGGTCTGAGGGACTGAGAACCCAGAGCATCCAGGACAGGGGGTGGGTGTGCTCGCTTACTGAGTCCAGCAGGGAGTGAAGTCAGCCTTCCCCAGGTTTTGTTCTCTTCAGGCCCTCAGTGGATTGGATAATGTCCACTGACAATGGGAGGACCATCTGCTTTGCTCATCCAATTCAAATACAGATCTCCTCATAGTCACACCCAGAACTGGTGTTTCACCTGCTACCGGCTATGCAGTGGTCCAAACAAGGTGACAGGTTAAACTGACCAGATTATTCTTCAGACCTTTCTCTATCACTTATATTTCCTGTAGCTAGATAGTTTGGAACGATGATGAGATTTAGGTTCATTTATCTGGCAAAACTTCTTCACAAATAATGGTAGACTCCCTCTAACAGTTCTATGATATCTTTTTGTTATTATTATTTTTTTTAGAAAGGGAAGGAAAGAGAAAATGCCAGAGAAACATCAGTGTGAGAGAGATACCTTGATTAGTTGCCTCTCTATATGACCCAACTGCAGATGGAACCCGTGACCTTGTGGTATGTGGGACAACACTGCAACCAACTGAGCAAAACTGGCCACTCTTTTATAAAAAATATTCTTTTTTCCATTTAGTAATGGGTTTTTAGATTGAGAGGAATGGGGGGGGGGTTGAGAGAGAGAGAGAGAGAGGGAGAGAGATCTATTTGTGCCACTTGTTTTTGCATTCATTGCTTGATTATTACATGGGCCCTGGCCACGAGCTGACCTTGAAACCCTGACACATCTGTACCATGCTCCAACCAACTGAGCTACCTGGCCAAGATCACTGTTTTTCCCAAAAAATATTTTGCTTACTTTAATAAAGCTGGTACAATCAATATCTATTTAAAACCCCCATCCCAGGACACAAAATACAAATAAAATAAAAAAGAGCAGTGTTCTGCTGCACAAACTTTTGCATGAATAAATTTATGAAATGCTAATGAAAATTAAAACTTCTGGGATCTTCTGACAAGATTTTTCTTTACTCTTAAAATGCTTTCTCTGCCCTAACTGGTTTGGCTCAGTGGATAGAGCATCGGCATGTGGACTGAAGGGTCCCAGGTTTGATTCCGGTCAAGGGCATGTACCTGGGTTGTGGGCACATCCCCAGTAGGGAGTGTGCAGGAGGCAGCTGATTGATGTTTCTCTCTCATCAATGTTTTTAACTCTCTATTCCTCTCCCTTCCTCTCTGTAAAAAATCAATAAGATATCTTTTTTTAAAAAAAATGCTTTCTCTGCCCTAGCCGGTTTGGCTCAGTGCATAGAGCGTCAGCCTGCGAACCAAAAGGTCCCAGTTTGATTCCAGTCAAGGGCACATGGATTTGATCCCCCGTGGGGAACTTGCAGGAGGCAGCCAATCCATGATTCTCTCTCATCATGGATCTTTCTATCTCTCTCTCCCTCTTCTTTCCTCTCTGAAATCAATAAAAATATAAAAATATTTTAAAAAATCTATTCTTTAAAAAAAAAAATGCTTTCTCTTCAGTGAAGCGTCTTTGGAGTTAGTCTTACTCTCACCTTATCTGTCATCTTGGCTCCAACCTGATATTCCTCTTCTTTTGGTCAGACCTTCAGATTTTAAAAGTAGCTTCAAGCTGATGAAAGGTCATAATTCCACAGTTCAGTTCACTGAAAAACTCCCACCTCCCACTGAAAGTCATAGTCCAGGAGTGAAGCAATCACATACTAGAACTATTGTGACAATTAATTAGAAGTATTATGAACACTTGCATTGGTCCACCTCATTTATCACAAGCCTCAAAATGCACCGTCCTGAAAAGGGTGGCCTCCCTGTGCACACACGTAATATTTCAAAAGGAGAGGGCGATATGAAGGAGGCTGAGGCTTGATCACCAACACTCAGCACAGTGAAAACCAACAATAATGAATAATGGGCACTAGAATTCAAACTACCACAGGTTTTAAAGAGATGGGGGGATGTGTGATCACTTTTCAATTCCATTGTGAAGGCCACATTACAAAAGGACTATTTTTAAAAATAAGAAAGGATTGAGGGGAGAGAAGAAAAAGAATATCTAAACCATTGAATGAGCCCCTGTTGTTCCTGATAAACTTCACGCACATCTTCCTCCTCCATTCCAAGTTCTCCTGGAGTGTGACTATCAGCACTTCTCTGACCCTCCAAGAGAAACCTGAGCCAGTTCATTGGAACTCCCCGTCTTAGACAGCATGATTCTTCGGGTTTCTTGAGATGTGTTGTCATTTTCACTTTGAAGTGAAACTCACTGCTGCCCTGTTCAATGACTTTGTACTCTCCTTCCTTCTTATTCCCCAAATCTTCAGTTGATGGTTTTACCTCCTGGTCAGACATGGTGATGGTGCTTTACCTGAGGTCTCCACACAGAAGCAGCCTTAGGTAGGCAGGACCTCGCTCCTGGATTTACAAATCCTTCTGTCTTCCCCACAGCACATGATTCCTTTTTAAAAAAATAAATCATTATTGTTGAAAGTATTACATATGCCACCTTTTTTTCCCCATTGCCCTTTCCACCCTCCTCCCCTTCAAGCCTTCAACACTCACTGTCAGTGTCTATGGGTTATGTATATATACACATGAGTTCACTGGTTGATCTCTTTCCCGCCTCTCCTGCCTTCTCAGATTGAGGCCTATCATCAATTTGCCTAGATTGATTAATTCCTTTTAAGTTGCAAAATAGACTTTACTTCTAACTCCTCCTTAAGTATTGTCATGATAAATGATTTGGACTACCTGACCTACTGTTCATACAGGGAGGAAAGGATTAATGCTGATTGAACCTTTAAATGGTGATATCTTTTTGTCTACAGAAATCACTTATGACTTGGATGGTGCTGGGTTTTTGACCAGAGTCCACAGCTGATTTTCACTTGGCAATGTGACATTAAACACAGAAGGAGTAGGTGACAGAAGACTGGACGTCAGCTGCCCACTGGAACTCTGCTTGGAAGCTCTTAGTGACTTCCACAGACAGGTAGACCTGAGCCAACCTCAGCTTCTCACGTTTCCTCCCTCTTGGACAATCACACTGACCGACGGGAGTCTCTTCTGATAGACACCTTCACTGCACCATGGCCTTTGCAGCTTCCCTGGCTGAGCTCCAAACAGAGGCCAGCTGTCCCATCTGCCTGGATTACCTGAGAGACCCAGTGACCACTGAGTGTGGGCACAACTTCTGTCCCTCCTGCATCCACCAGCGCTGGGAAGGTCTACAGGGCACCTTTCCCTGTCCTGTCTGCCTCCACCACTGCCCTGACAGGAGCTTGATAAAGAACATGCAACTATGTCACATGAGTGAGAGCTCAGCAGAAATTATGTCACATGACTGAGATTGCTCAGCAGATTCCCGGCATGAGGGGAAAGCGGAAAAGGCAAGAGGAACCCCTGTGTAAGAAGCACCGTGAGGCTCTGACCCTGTTCTGTGAGAAGGACCTGGAGCTGCTGTGTGCCCAGTGCAGGGTGTCATCCAACCACCAGGATCAGCCCCTGGTCCCCATTGAGGAAGCAGCAGCTAGTCACAGGGGGATGCTCAAAAGGAACATTGAGGCCAAGATTAATCATCTTGAAGTTGTAGAAATGTTATATAAAAACCAAGTTGAAAATACTTGGGAAGTGAAGAGAAAGATGGAAAAATGGGGGGAGGAGTTGGACAATGAATGTCAAGAAATTAAGTGTTTCTTAGCAATCGAGCAAAATGAAATTGATAACAATCTACTTATAGAAGAGAAGGATGTTGAAGAAAAACTAATTGAAAATGGAAGGCAAATTTCATACCATAGGTTCAGGGTAAGCAGTCTGTTAAGTAAAACAAAAGACAAGTGTTTGCAGACAGATGAGGATTTACTCACAGGCATTGAAAGCATTCACAACAGGTATGGAAACCGAGAGACCCCTGCAGTGTTTTCATGTGATTTAAAGAAGGGGACTTACAATCTCCCCCCACATTACTTGGGCCTGCATAAAATGATCCGAATGTTTCGGGCAGATTTGACACTGGATCCTGAAACTGCCCATCCAAACTTCATTCTGTCAAGAGATAAAAGAAGTGTGACATATAGGACACCAAATGGTTTTCCTAATATCCAGGATCTTACTTCTTACCCAGCTGTCCTGAGTTCTGAGGGATTTGATGCTGGCAGGCATTTTTGGGCGGTAAAAATAACAGGCACAGGTGAATGTTTTTTAGGTGTGTGTAAGGAATCTTTCCCCAGAAATACTGACATACCGCCATCAGCAAGAAATGGATGCTGGCAGTTTTCTCTCTGGATTCCTACAAGTGGCCCTTCCCCCATAGGACAACTGAAGATTGGCATTTTCCTGGACTATGAGTTGGGAGAGGTTTCATTTTATAATTTGAATAACAGGTCATGCTTGCATGGAATCACTGATACATTTACAGAAAAACTTATGCCTTATTTTTCCATTGCATCTTCTTCAGCATCCCTTATAATCAATGTCATCTGAGGCAAGTGATGACAATTTGGATGGATTTTTGTATGTGTTTTTTCCCTTCCTTTGTTATCGAAAAAAAAAAAACTTATAATAAAGATCCTGATTCTGGTTTTGATGTTTGAATGTTGAAAACTTCAAGGACTCACCTTTCTCCCCTCCCTGACTTTACACCTGGGAAAGCTAATGAGAAAGTCCAGGTGCTCCATCCTTGGGGGCAGGGGGGAAGTTCCAATCAAGCAAGTTTCTATCAGTGTCAGCAGGCTCCCAACAACAGCACCCAGTAACCAACATGAACACCATAAGCCAGTCCCTTTTCCCTGTGCTCTCAGTCATTTTGGTTCCTATTCTAAGATCCTCTGACCCTTCCCACCCTTCCCACAAAACCTTATCATGTGAGTAATAAACTTTCATACTCTTCAGGTATGCGGTGAGTCATCAGTGTGAACATTTGAAACCAATTTTGGATGGCTCCACCCTGACAGCAAGCTGGTCACCACCATGGGCATTGTGAGCAGGATTTTCCAGTCCCCCCCCCCCCGCCACCCAACCCACACCGGGGTTTCCTCCTCTGGCTTTGTGTGGTAACACCTCTGGTTCCCTAGGCAAGGGTGTCCTTGCAGTTTGTGCTGCATTTGCTGAGTTCTATGAGGCTGTGTTGTGTAGATTTGACTGACCTAAGTCAGAAATTTCATAAGAAACACATTTAAAAAAGAAACACATTCTAGCCTGGTCAGTATAAACCAGGAGTCCCAGTTAGATTCCCTATCAGAGCACATGCCCTGGTTGCTGGCTCTATTCCCAGTAGGCCATGTGTGGGAGGCAGGCAATGGATGATTGCCTCTCATTTCTGTTTTCATCTCTTTACCTCTTCCTTTCTGAAGTCAATAAAATATATATATTTTTAAAGAGAAACTCATTTTATTTGCTTATTATTATTTTTCATATAATTTTTTGGAATCCTAATTGTCTTGTTGTCTCATGTTTTATAAAATGTTCATGTATAGGGCTGAGCAAAAGCAGGTCGACAGTAGTGATACAAATATGTACAGTAATAAATAACAAATAATACAGGAATAAACTTTTGTGTATTATCAACTCTAAATACACTTTGTTTAAAATCCTCACTTGGTGCCCAGCTGGGTGTAGCTCAGTGGATGAGCGTCGACCCAGGAACCACTCCCTCTCTGACATCAATAAAAATATACTTTTTTAAAAAAATCCTCACTTGAGACCTAGCCTGTTTGGTTCAGTGGATAGAGCATTGGCCTGCAGACTGAAAGGTCCTGGGTTCAATTCCAGTCAAGGGTACATGCCTGGAGTTGCAGGCTCGATCCCCAGTAGGGAGTGTGCAGGAGGCAGCAGATCAATGATTTTCATTATTGATGTTTCTATCTCACTCTCCCTCTCTAAAACCAATAAAAATTATATTTAAAAACATTTGTAAAATAAATTAAATCCTCAACTGATATGTTTATTGATATAGAGACACAGAAAGGAGAGAGAGAAACATCTATGTGAGAGAGAAGCATCAGTCAGTTGTTTCCTTTATGTGCCCTGAAGGGGTGCTAAACCTAAAACTTGTTTGCCCTGAGTGGGAACAGAATCTGCAGCCATTTTGGTGGAGGAGACCACATTCCAACAAACTGAGCCACCTGGCCAGGGCTGTAAACATACCTTTGACAATCCCAGTATGGCCTCCAAAGGTAACATACTCATTTTTTTTTACATTATGCGAAATTTACAACCTTTTAGAACACACTTCTGTTTATATTCCTGTATGTGTATTGTTAATAATGTTTGGAAATAAAATTGTAGTTTGCATATCTCTGACTATTTGTCTCCATAACTTGAAAAGATGCTCAGCAGAGAGAAGCATTGATCAGACCCTCAAACCTCAGAGGGAAGGTAGGGGAGGGTGGGGGTAAGGGGGAGAGATCAACCAAAGGACTTGTATGCATGCATATAAGCCTAACCAATGGACACAGAC